TAATTGTTAAGATATTTTAATTTAAAAATTAAAAAAATTTTACTAAAAATGATTTGTCCCTTTTCTACTGACTTACCCCATATGTCAAACTTTATTTGCATCATTAATACAAAACACACCACATGAAATGATTTTTCAAATGTGGCATGTACATTATATAGGAACTTTCAGACATGGACATTATATGGTATTACTTAGTGACAGTACTCATTTATGTATCTGTCTCCTGCTAATCAATAAAGGATTAATTTGTCAACATTTTTTTCATGTTGATATATATTCTCCCATGGCCATGTTTCATATAACACTTATTCTAAGCCATTGGTACTTAGAACCAAATATATCTCTAAATAATTTGCTTCAACAAATGCTCACAAAGCCTGTTTTTAGATTTGAACAATTAGGAATCCCTGACATTGCACCAAATATAACATTACATCATCTTTTTTCAATTCGTTCTAGAATACAAAATTTTAATCCAACAGCAAGATCTGCTAAAGCAAGATATGCAAACCTATTTAGACTATCAAAAAAGATGATTGACCTTGCGATTAAGGCTGATTTATACAATAAACTATCTGGAGTTCTTAATATCTTTTTAAGTAAGGCACAAAATAAAATGAATGACAATCAAGTACAGGATGAAGATCATATGATTGTGAATCCCATTATCACAAAACACAAAGAATGCCCTCCTAAAAGGCTTAAATCAAGTGTCAAAGAATTATATAAAAGCAAACCTTATTTAAAGGATAATGCATCCCTTAATATAAATAATAGAGAAGCAAGTTCAAGTGTTGATACTGTGAGTGATAATAAGGGCTGGAAATGTGAAAAGTGTAAACAGTTTGGGCATTATGCTAAAACTTGTACTAGAGAATAATTTGATGTTTTTGATACCTTTTGCAATTCTTAAAAAAAGTTGAGTCGATTTAAGAATTTGAATCAAATTTAATAGTTTAAATGATTCATATATGTACATAATAGTTGAATCACTATTGCTATAATGAGAGCTTAAAATATAATTATCAGTTACATACGTACGTACGTACTGATTTGTGTGTATGCACCAAATATAGCAGAATTATGTAATATTGTATAGTATGTATGTACGTACGTACAGTACATAGTGCAGCATAGTATATACAACAATGTACATTTAATCTCTTTCTTTTATTATTCTTGTTCAAGAATTAGAGCTGGGGTAATTAATTAGTCTTTTTTTTTGCGTTAAAGACAAATTTATACTAGAAGACCAAACTAGTTAAGAAATAGTATTGATAAGAACTCAAAATTTTATGGAGAACCTTGCATTAACATAATTTTACTTTCAAATCGCAAAAGGGCATAAGTTACCGGATGAGGTTTTGCGGTTTGTAATTATTTAGTCGACCAGAAGACCAATCAACTTTTAGCCGATATGACTAGCCGATTCGATTTAATTAAGGGGCCTAATAGTACGTATTATACACGTTATTTATTTACCTCACAATTCTATATACAGTCAATCTTCAATATGTAGATTGTTCTCTACAAGTATACTTTCTCAGATAACGTACACTTATTAACTGTACTAATCTGGTGCAGCTCACTTCACCGATAATAATTTCATTAACAGTTTCATTAGCTGACATCGCATAGGGTTAAAGTTAATTGTAGGTATTTATTTTTAGGCGGCAAATAAGCCTGTTAGTTGGTGAAGTAAGGAAGAATTATACTAATCAACTAGTCGATTTTAGTTAATGACTAATTAAAGTCGATTCTTTAAGATCGGTTACGATATTATTGCCTAGTTCATATCTATTTTATTATTTCAAAGTATATTGTAGTTACACAACTGTATATTTAAATTTTTATATTATACACATATATAAATAATAATATATAACTTGTATTTATACATGATCACGTGATGCGGGTTTATACACGTAGTGTCCAAATAGAAATTGTCTAAATTTAATTTCGACAGACTAAATGTCGAAATAATTTTTTATTAAGAGGAATAATTTAGACACCTATGGATCAAACTTTATTGATATTTATGTATGTGAAGTACTGAAAACTTCATAACGGCTAAGAATTGTTGCTAAGGTTGTGATATCATATCACAATGTCATATCCAAAACCCCTAAGATATATGATTTTACCATGAAAATATAACTATTTATTTCTTATTGATTGCAAAAGAGATTGACGGATGTTGATTAATGAGGATAAAACATTTTTCCTTCCATCTGGCTCAGCAAGATCAAAATCAGAATCCTTAAGATTTATAGCTGACCACCTTAGAATTTCAATTGACTGTTCTTCCGGATAACCATTTTCAAGCTCGTTCCAATATTTAGCAGGGATCATAGCTTTATAAAATGTGACATGTGTCGAAATGACACGAATGGCAAATACGGTCTGAACTTTAAAGTAACCCACTTTTTCATTATAATAAGGACGTGAATTTTCACTTCCGCTGGATAGAATTTCTATAGCGAGTTGTGGTTCCCCGAATCCATTGCCTGGCCTGACAATATCCAGGTGCTTATCCTATTTAAAAAATTTATTTGAGTGACAAAAGAAAAAACTTATCTCAGACAAACAACAACATACTGACTTCTACTGCAACCAAAATATTGTCTTGCGACTTAATTAAGAATTCAGGTTTTGCTATCACACAATGATCCCCGACATATAATTCGTATCTCGGTTTATTTCTGAATTTTAAGAATACAACAAACTTTAGAACGATTTAAGAGTCGATTAAAGTGTAACAACAACGGAAAATCTATGGACAGTTCTTAGGGACAGTTGCGAATCACGTGTGTTGATAGTTAGGGACAGTTAGGGTTATTGGTTTTTAGTAGTATCATGTGAATTTTACTGTCCATACCGTCCCTAAGAACTGTCCATAGATTTCCGTAACAACAACTATTACTCACCTGATCAACTATTACTCACCTGATCATTAAAGGGAAAGCATTTAACTTAGCGATACGAAGTAGGTCATCCACAAGCGTATCGGTAAGAGTTTCGTTTCTGCCTAACTTTTTAGAAATTTGAGAATATCGAATTTTGGGTGACTAAGGACATCGCTATCGATGTGAGGAACAACATACTGTTCCAAGTCGGTGTCTAAGACTAAATATTTAAACTGTAAGTCTTAAGTTCGTTAAGAGGATTGTAAAGTAGTTCGTACCTTTAACATCTTTAGGTATTACAAAGTCCTCGGCTGGAGCTGGTCTGACGCTCACCCTAATTGAATCTAAATGAACATTCTTGAATGAAGAAGAATACACAGGGATCTTATGTGCAGATTTAACTTTTTTTGCTCTTTTTTGCGAATATTTGAAAAAAGCTCTTGGTTTGAAAGATCGTAATGCAGAGCAAGAAAACTTTGCGAGCAAAGGCATTTTCATTTTATTAGCAATTTTGTGCAAGAGTAATTTCCTTTTAAGGAACGTCTAAAAGCGGAGCAGATTCTTATACGTAACAGGTAATATATATTTTATTGAACTTTAGGGTTTCTCATTGAACCTAGCCGCACCAAAATTTCACGGATGATCCTCGATTTTGATTGGCTAACGGCCGTGATCTACAAAATTTTGGCCCGCATTACATAATTGTTTACATAATTTTTGGCCGGAATTAACTTTTTAACTTTTTCATTCCCAAAATGGAAATTCTTAGAGAAATAGGCCCGCACAATGGTAAAATTAGCCCAGGAATATTTTTCACTTAATGTGCGGCTGTGGTTTTATTTTGGCCTAAATTATTGATCGTCGCTCATAGCCAATCAAAATCGAGGATCATCCGTGAAATTTTGGTGCGGCAGCTAGGTTCAATGGGTTACTCGCCGGCGATCATCAAAATTCTATAATTTGATTGGTCGGATATCACGTGATTATGCTCCGTCCCTTCCGATTTTTAATTAAAATCGATTAATATTGATAGAGAAAAGTATTTCGACATTTTTTTGTTTTGTTCAGGCTGATCTGGGCTACATATCGGGAAATTTCGTAAAGTGCCAGGCTTTAAACGCTATATGTGTAGATCTGAACATGTTATTTTTGGATGTTTCATTATACAACACATGATCAATCAAAAAATATTCACCAATATCTACTGTAAATTGCTGTATAAACCACCCCGGGTATGTTACTTTAAATCTGCGTGAAGATTGATTCAGACCCGGGGGGTCTGCTGTATGGAGAAGGGTCTACTATTAGAAGATCTGTTGTATAGTAAAAAATTATTGACCAATTAAAATCAAGCAATCCTATGACAGATATATAATATATGACTATATAATAAAACCTGGATTTTATACATCCTTTTCCTCTAGTAACAATAGACCTGGTGGTTTGGTTGGTGTATCAGTTTTTAGCTTTTGTTGCTTAGTTCATCTGTCTTATATAGTCTTTTTTTAAATCTAGTCTTTATAGTAGTTTTGTCAAAAATCTAAGCTATTTCTCTACTTAGAATTTTAGTTAAGCTTTAGTTCTTCCAGTCTCTTGGATTTCTATGCCTGATAGTCTTATTATAAGTTTGTACTGATTTCAGTACCAGCTTGTATTTTTTTGTATTTTGTATAATACTATATGAATGTCTTAAGTTCTCAGTCTTGCTAATATAACCAAAGTTACAATTGTTTTTTTTTTATAATCTGACAATCCTGCCTCTGTTTATTTAAGATTAAGCTATTTAAAAATTATACATTTCTATCTATAGCTATCACTAATCTAACCAAACTAGAGACTCACCCCTGGCTTTCGTCCAGGTGTGACCTGCCTCAGTAGTTCTTGGCCTCTCTCCGGATCCTTAATTTACTAAGGATTTATTTTCCTTTGCTTATCGGCTGGTAACTACCCACCTTGTCAGTACTACCTAATTATATTTATATTTCACAATGTAATTGTGCTTTGGCCGTGGCCAGTACTTGCGAACAATACAAAACATCAAATTACTAATCTTAAAGTAAGATTATTACGTTGTGTATTTTCTATTCTATAAATTCTAAAAACTTTGCTACTATTTAATTTCTTCTGTGATCTTCTATAGTTACCCCCAATTCATCTTTTCATATTTTATTTCTTTTCTTTCTACTGGTAGTCTGTTCTGGCACTTCAATCTTCTACTTTCTCTCTTCTTTTTATGTTTCTTCTAGTTCCTAAGCTTCATCTTATTCTTCTTGCTCTTGATCATATTCTTTATACAGATTTCTTCCAGAAGTATTCATCTTCAGCTTTTTCTTTTTTTAGTTTCTTTAATATTACTTTTGATTCTTCTGCTTCTAGGTCTTGGTTAATTTGTCTAAATTTTTTTTTCCTTTTTGTCGAAACTTTGTGCTTTCTTTCTTTCTTCTATTCTATAGTTTTATATTTCTTCTAATAAGTGCCTTTTAAGATTTTGTATACTTCTCTTTATTTTTTGGTCTTTCCAAAAACCTTCTTCCTGTTTCTAGTGTGAAGTTTTTCTTTTTTTCTTCTAATTCTTGACTGTTCGAAACTGCGTATCCGTTTTCTCTTTTTTATTCCATAAGCTTGCTTTTCTTCTGATGGTATTTTTTGCAGTTTAAAGCACTTTTCTTGCTTTCTAGCTATTTTTCTTATACTTCTTTTTGCTATTTTAAACCTGGTGTCTTTCTTTTTTCTTTTTCAATTCTTGACTTCTACTATTCTCTTTGTTGTTATATCTTGTATAGTGTTATCTTTATTTATGCTAATATTCATTAATGATCTAGTTCATCTACTTCATTCTTCTAAGATTTCTTTGATTTTCTTTTTCTAATCTTTAATATTATCTTGTCTACTTTCTAAATTTACTTGGTATATAAACTCTGCTATTCATCTTAGTAATTCTTTTGTGAGTTTTTAATTTGTATCTTGATGGAGTTTTCCTCTTCTATTAAGGTTAATGCTAAAATTTTTGGTCTTGATTCTTCAGTTAGTTTGTTTAAAGTTTCCTTCTCTATGAGGCCTTCAATATCTTTTCCTGTGATTCTTTTCTTCAATATATCTTCTTTTTCTTTAGCTTCTTTATGTTTTTATTTTAGCAGCTTTGCTTTCTGTCGAACTTGTATTTTTTCTTTATGTTGTTTTATTTTCATTAATTCTACTAATTCTTTTTTTTTTTAATATTAATGGTAAGGCTATGCCTCTAACTTTATTGAATATTTAATTGAGATCTTTATATAAAATACTAATCTATTTTTAAAATATTATAGAAAGAATAGAGGCTCAGACTAATTTATCTGTGACCTAAACCAACTGGAGTGGCCAAAGTTCATCTAGATTTGGGTATTAGTAATAATATGTGTCAAATTAGTTTGAAATTTAATCTAATGTATATACCAAGAATGTATTTTAGAGCTAATAATAGTGAAAGGAAGAGGTTGATGTAGGTGTAATGTAGGATTAAAAGGTAAATTGTTAGTTAAAAGTTGAGCTGTCGATCTTGAGATACAGTAAAGAATCTAAATTTTATGATAGACTTGTTGATTTAGATGAAGTAAGAATTTTATAATAAGTGATATAGCTATTTTTTGGGTTGTTAGGTTTGAAATAAAGATAATAAATTCATTTGGACTAAGCCTGATAAGGTTAAAAAAATTGAGGTTATATTTGGTATACTATGTATATTTATACAATCTAGTTGTTTGATTTGGTGATATAGATTGCTTATATTATCAGAAGTAGTATCAAGTGTAGTTATTTTAAAGATGTGTTGTAACGAGTCATCTATAAGATTGTATAATAGTTAGTCAGATAGACAAGTTATCCAATAGAGGTTAGAGCTAGTATAATGACATTGGTGGCATGTAGGTAAATATGAAGGATAGCGTTTGTATAAAGTATATAAAGTAGAAAGTTCATTTAATAAAATTTTAATTCTGAAAGACTTAAAGGCAGAAGATTAAAAATTGTATGAAAAGTCTAGAATTTTTTGGTTATTATTAGCATATAATCAAGTAGCTTGCTAGTTGATTTGGTTAAAGATCTTGTTCTATTTTTGAAAATGATTTTGTGTTATCTATAATGCATAAATATGGGCATGATATTTTGTGCGAATACTGTGGCGAGTAAGTAATTTTAAAGGGAAGTTTTTAAGAGTTAAAGTATAAGCAGGGTTGTAAATATTATAAGATATAAAGATTAGATATAGCAAGTTGTAATAGTTGCATGCGAGTTGATCAGCAAGGTTGTTATAGTTATCATCGTGATAAGCAGTGATTTTGTGAAATATGATGTGAATATTGTAGGACTTGATAAAGTTAATAAGTGTGTTCTATCCCTTAAACTGTAGGCTCTTCCAGGCAAATTTGCCTGAAAAATTATAATAAATATTGTTATGATCTACTTTTTTTAAATTTTAATATATTTAAATAAATTTTTTTTTGATAATATTTGAAAATA